GCATTTAGAGAATAATAAAAAAAATGCATTTATAGAGGTCAAGTTTATATTTGGACCAGAATCTAAATGTGCATTTAAAGAGGGTGCGCTTAAATGGGTCTGGCCGTAATTTGATTTGTCAATAAAACCACGTTTTTGCACTATCACGTGATAATTTAAGTCGACTTGGAGTCGACTTGAAAGGACTCGACTAAAAGTCGACTCGGGGTCAGAAAATCCGAGTTGTTTAATACCCCTATTAGCAGTAGTATGGTATGTACTGTACGTACGTAATTACATATTATATACATTATTACAGTATATACTAGATATTACAGTAATGTGATATAAAATTTTGTCTTAAGCATTGAAATAATTTGAAATAATTATGTAAAATTTAACTTATTTACGTAATTTACGTAATTATAATGTTTTATTTGAATATAAATTATTTATCACTATTTTTCTTCTCTTTTTAAACAATGGACGAACCAACTTACGATAACAATAATTCAGCTCTTGATTCCCTATCTACCCAAACGTCTTATTTGAACTCGCAGGATCTTTCATCTACAAGTCTTGATTCTCAATCAGACTCCAAATTTCACCCAATCCTTAATTTCCAACAATCTCATGCTTCCGATTTATTAGACGGAATCGGCAGTACTTCTTCTAATGGTGCTATTGTGCCCACCTTACCAGCGATCGTCGAAGCTCAGCAATTATGCTCTGAAATCAGGGAAATCAGTAATAAATTATGGGAAAGCAGGAAAGCTGGTGACGAGCATGTTCGTTTCATTTAATTTCTTATCACCTTTTTTTTTTTTTTATACTTTGAGTGAGTTATTTTTTATTATTAAATAGTGGGTGCTTGATCTGGCAACAAGACGTCAATTGGATTTAAAATTCATTAAACTTAGACAGCTCAATCGAAAAATGTGTCAAGATAAACAAAATATTAAAAATAAAACTCATTATGCAAAAGGACAAATGGATCTTGCGCATATGAAACTACAAGATGTTATGTTTCAGAAATGTTTGTTAAAAAGTACGCTTAGTAAATTTCCACGTAGGTATGTTATTTATTAAAAAGTACTGTATGGTTAGTAACCTTCCACGTAGGTATTTTGTTTTTTTTTTTTGATTTTATTATTTCATAATTTTTTAAATTTTTTATAATTTAATATTAGATTCAAGTTTGAAGATATCTCATTAATCACCCTTGATGAATTCATGAAGACTGCTCCGGAACGATACCTTCCCGTTATGCCTGAAGATACTGATACTAAACAACGTGATCATCAATTATTACTGGCTCAATTACGATACGAGCTCGCTGAACGTACAAGGTAAATTTCTATTAAATTATTGTTATAAAATCATATTAATGTTTTTTTTTGAGTATATATTAAATTTTATTAAATAGATTGAACGATAATTATCTTGAAAAATTGAAAAGAAAAGAAGATGTTCTTCGAAGACTAAGAGGAAAATCAAAATTATATCATGAAGTCAATAAAATAATGTCTGATCCATTTAGCGTATGTACTGTACTTTTACATCAATTTTTTCTTATCAGTATATTTAATGTACCTAATTTCATATATCTTTTTATTGGTATAAAAAACAGACGATTAAATCTCTTCAACAAATTAATTCAACTTTAGTAGCTAGTATATCGTCATCACCTGAAACCAAATTTTCGATTGACCATTCAAGCTCCATGGTTGACGATAATTGATAGTGATAGGTGATAGCCATTATTTGCTTACTAAATAATCGATGACAATTCATAAATTTCGTGTACTATACATTATTATATACATTATAATTTGGCTTTGCTTTGATTCATGTAACATGGTCTGCGCTATACTTCTTTAATAATAGAAGTCCCAAGAAAGAATTCATTTTGTTCATAGCTGTATATTTTCTTTCAAAGTTGACACGCAATAGAGTTTCTCAATTTGCAGAATTACTATATTTTTCAAAATTTTAGATCTCGCTACAATATAATATATATAATATACAATACTACTAATAAGACTATCGACTTACGGACAAATTAGATATGTCAAAAAGAAAATGTACAAAATATGGTGATAACTTATTGTACAATGTTTGTGTAATAGTCGAAAGCTTTCGTAGAAAGTAAACGTAATAAATGAGGTAACCAAAGCAAAATATCAACGAATTACGTATTAGATCAAAACTTAAGATCATCTAGTGGTATTATATACTTGTATATTTATTCACTGTTATAAAACAAATTATATAAAATCTTTGCTTTATTTTTATCTATCTATATTCCATTAATTAAGATTACATATTTGTGCGATATTTGTTGTGATAACGCGCTAATTAACACGAACGTGTAGTTGATGTGTCTTAAAGGTATTTTTATACCTGATACTGTAATTGCTATCACAAGTCATAAAGGATCATAAGTTCGATCTCTATAATACATATGTGTGCGTACTATCAGTAGTGATGAAAAAAAAACGGTTTAAACAGTTTTTTAGATGTTCTAAAACTTTTTAAAAAACTTTTTAAAATATTGGCGCTGAGACTAAAATTTAAAATTTAGGCTAACATGCCGATTCACCAAATTTCATAGAGATAATTTTTAAGAAAAAATATTTACTTTATAAACTTTCGTTATTATACAATTACAAGAAATGCGCAATTGTTTAACTATATATATATATTTTTTTTTCTTTTTTTTTTTTTTTGTACGCTCTTTTAATATAATTTAATGCATAATTATAAAGTCAATCTCAATTCTTTTTTGAATTCTCAAATTCTGATAGACTGCAACAAGTTTTTTTTACCCGTTCATTATCTAGACGTGCACGATGTTTATTATGAATATACCCAAAGTTAGACCAGCAACGTTCTGCTGCACTGTTATCTCATCTTCATTTGAACCGGAGGCTTGAGTATCAGCATTATTTAATAAATTTTTCATACTTTTTGGAACCTTTTTTGCATCTATATAAGTGATCCTTTAATCGAGCGACTAAATCCACAAAGTCCTCTTCACAGTAATTACACTTTTGGCTTGCGTAGTTCGATCAAGTTTGTCAGTTTTTGTAACTTTTGTAAAGTTCACTTTAATTGAGGTCTCCCACGGAGCATGACTGTTTATAATTTTATTTTTTAAATTAATTAAATAAACACTACCCCATTGTTACGTATTATGATTATGTCAGAATGTATTAAATCATTTAAAAACAGTTTTAATCTAAACGTTCTGTTTTAAAACATTTTCCATCCCTAACTATCAGCTATGATCACGTACTTACGTACCGTAATTTGCGGCAAATAGTACCCCAGGTCTCTTACATTCCTAGGAGCAAAATCTTGATTAGTACCCGGTGGGTACTTTGTCAGGTGGAGGGTATTTTATGTGGGAGAGTTTATGTAAGGAGAATAATTAGGTTGGCTAATTATTTAATAGAATTATAACGAAATTGAAAGAAAAAGACATAAAAGAAGTCATGCATTATATAAATTGCATCTTAGATATACCTGGGTCTTTTACAATCATGTTCGTGACAAATACTTGATTAATCCAGGTACAAATCGTGGGGGTACACTAATAAGGGGGTACTATTTGCTGCAAATTACGGTACGTGGTTCACAAAATGAAATGTTGATCAAAATTTGAAAAGCATTAGCATTTTATCAAATTAACATAATCTTTTTTCTTTCCAAGCTTAATTTGCAAATTTTGTAAATTATAAAATTATAGTACAATATATATAAATGCATACAGTAAATATTTGTTAGATTTGTCTTTTGATCAATAATAAAATAAGTTTTTAATATCACTAAAATAATTTGACTATTATTAATAATTGGATTATTATTTTTGTCTAATCACTGTGTATTAGGGATGGTAAAAAAACAGGTTAAAAATGTTTTTTGTGATTTTTAATTGAAACAAAAAATGGTTTAAAACATAAGCAGCAGAGTCTGATTTGTTAATTTCTGTGCTGACAATACAATACTTGCTTTAAAAAAATTTTCATATAAAAAAATATTCAATTAAAATTGATATATTTATTAAAATATTTAAAATGTAAAGAACTTAAAAATGTATTTGCATTGCATTTAAGATACAGATTGTATAATTTTTTTTTTTTTTTTTTTTTTTAATACTAGTGCCAAATTAAAATATATACCCTGCTATTATTTAAGCACATTGACGATAAATTTTAATTATCATTATTATCAAACCAACCATCCTCTTTAATACCTTTTTGAATTCTCAAAGTTTGATAGATAGTTACGAGCTTTTTTACTCAGTTATTGTCTAAACATGCACAATGTTTAGTATGAATATAGCCAAAGTGGACCAACAACATTCTGCAGTGGCTGAAGAAGCCAGAATTGAAAGAACTTGGCAGGCAAGCTCAACCACAAGCAGAAATTTATTTGAAAAATTTAATTTCTACCAACTAATTGGAATTGAATGCTTGACAGATGCCCAAAGCAATAATCCAGAGAATTCAACAGTTTTAGCAATGTATTTTTAAATAACTTCATAAATCTTTAAATAAATAAATAAATAAATATCTAGAAATTGAGACTTTTTTAAATAAAATATCTTAATATTTACATATGCTGCAACTTGAAATATATAGATTTTTTCAAGATATAGAATAATGATGTTTTCAAGATTATTCTGTTTTAATGATTTTCCATGGATCCTAAATATAAATTTCTTATTAATATATATATATATCAATATTAAAATTTTTTAAATATAGCAATAAACTTACCAAGAATCTAAAAGATTTGCAATTGCCTGAAATGCAAAATCAAACCGGTTATCAATTAGATCAAGAACCTTTAGTTTAAAATCCAAATTTAAATCACGCAAATCAATTAATTCATGGAGTAGTTGCTATTCAGATTGGACATGTGAAAGTAAAGGTTTATCAGATTTAAATACACATATAAGCTTAACAAATGGCATCAAGAATGATGCCAGTTTTTCTAGTTCTTTCCACATTAAATTATTAAGTATTTGGTCTCTAAAATCATGTGTAATTTTTTTATTAACTTCTGGTTGTATAACAGTCATTTGAATTTCCAATTTGCATTGAAGAACAGAATTAATCGCATCTAAACAAGTTCTCCAATGAGTATCTACAGGTTAAACCAAGCTAATTGTATTTGGCTAATTTAACAAAATCAATTCTGCTTTGGGGTGTTCTCGAAAAAAACTAATGATCTGCTTTGCATTATTTATTAATTTCTTCACATATTCGAGTTTAAGTACATCTTTAATTAAAAGATTTCCAATATATACATTACAACCCAAACAAACCAATCAAGGATAATCTTTGTTTAGCAGTTTCCAAGTGGCTCTCATAGAACTGGCATTATCCATTACAATAGCAGCAAACTTAGAAGGACCAACAAGTTCAATTATATTCTTAAACTCATTATAAATATACTTTGCAGTATGAGAGTCAGATCCAGTAAATTTTGTATCATAAAAAATAGGCCTTGGAAGGCAAAAAATAAAATTTAAAACTGATTCTTGCTGGATATTTGACCATCCATCTGATACTAGTGTAATATTTATTGCTTCTTCTAAAATCATATCTAAATTTTGCCATTCAATTTGATATTTAGAATCAAGCAGATTATTAGCCAAATTGCGTCGATTAGAACTAATATAAAATGGGTTTACGGTTTTAATATAATGATGCACAGCTTCTATATATTCTTTCCAAAAAGAATTCTCAATAGCCATAAATGGAATACCAGCTGAATAAAAGAATTTGGCTAATATACTATCTACATCTGATTTACTTAATTTCATTTTATCAGAGTCTTGAGCTTCTAATGAATCTTTTATATTTTTTGAAAGCTTATTATATCTTAATAGGTGCTCTTTTAATCAAGCAATTAAATCAATGCAATCCTCTTCGCAGTGATTACACTTTTGACAAGGTGTCTTTTGGCTTTGTATATTAGTTTTAGTAACTTTTGTGAAGTTCAACTGGATTTCTTTAAAAGGGGCCTACTACGAGACATAGTGAATAATGATGATTAAATTTTTTAATACTGGTAATCATAATGATAATAATTATTTTATATTGAATTGCATCATAATTTTATAATAACAATAATTATGTCAGAATGTTTTAAAAACTATTTTAAATCCAACAAACATGTTTTTTAAAATCACGTTTTAAATCATTTGCCATCCCTACTATGTATATTTGTTTTGATCAGTCTCATGTAATATATATTTTTTATATATATAGGCTGCCATCAATAGAAATTAGGCAGATTGACATTTTAAAAAAAATTTGATGCTATTTGATGATTCAACATTTCAAAAAAAGCTTAGAACTTAAATCATCAAGCTAACTTTCAAATTTCTTTCATTGAGATATAAGCTGTGAAAATTGAGATATGAATTTTTTTTTTAAATGTCAATTTGCCTGATTTCTATTGATAGCAGCCCATATATATTTTTGTCTTAATGGTTTGTTTTTTCACAAGTTTATCTTTTTATTAACTTCATTTTTTCTTAACTTTAAAAAGTGGTATAACCTTTTGTTTTTTCTTAACTTTAAAAAAAGCATCTTAACATTTCGAGTTTTTTTTTTAACCTTAAAAAAGCGTCTTAACATTTTGTTTTTGTTTTTTTTTTTAACTTCAAAAAAGTGTCTTAACATTTCATGTTTTTTTTTTTAACCTTAAAAAAGCATCTTAATC